TGCAGTAACCCTGTTCAGCAGCAGACCGGGGCTCAGAACGTTGTCCCCGGTAAAGCACAGACTGTGCTGGGCTATGTGACCGAGACATGCCCAGCCTGAGTCTGTCGAGGAGGCTGTGTGACCGAATGCAGCACAAAGGAAATTCAACAGTCAAAGTCAACTGTAGAGTCAAAGGTACCGCGCCCAGGCCTACGGTCGGATACATTCACTTGTTGTGTGCAGGTACCCAGACAGCATTCAGGGCAGGAGGAATACAGTTTCTGGCCAATCTGGGCCCTCCTTCAGATTGAGATCTGGACGGTGCAGGACTTCAGCACCCGGGGTCCAGACCCCGCATCCACGCTATTTAAGAGTTGACTTCGTGGCTGGAGAACATTCAGTCTTGTGTGAATGCTGACTTCACGCGTGGACTTGACGCTGTTGCTATGCTGCGACATTGCGACATTGGCTTGACGCCGGCTATATGCTGGCAGAGGAGGACGGCAAGGCGCTGCTGGCTGGCGATGGTCTTCTGGGCATGCTGACGTGGCAGCTGCCATGCCCCGTTGCTGACGTGGCCGCTGCCACCTGTATATGATTGATGACGTGGCGGGCTGCGAGATTGATGAGGCTGTTCTGATTCTTCGTCACTTCGGAAGGGGATCAAGACTGTGGTTATCGAGGATACGTACCTGGTTGATGACGATACTCTCCATTGTTGATGTAGACAGATTGACGTGCCATGTGGCACCTTGAGGAAGAACTTCAGACATTGTATTCAGTCTATTGATTGATGAGGTGACGAGGAGGAGGAGGAACCCGAAGTAGAAGTGGGCTGTTGTCTTCTTCTCTCTCTTTGGTCTATCCTCCCTCTCTCCTCCTTCGTCTGTGTATGATTCTCACCTCATTCTATCATCACACACATTACGATTGTTTGTCATTCATCAGCAGATCGATAATCATATGGACTGGTAATGTTGACGAGTATCATCACGTCTGGGCTCATTGCAATTTGGTATCGCAGCAGATCTTCCGATCTTGTGACAGGGACGACAACGACAAGTGGTGGCATCTACATTGAAGAGGCTGACGTGGAGAAGACAGCGCATGTCAGATTATTGACGTGGCATTGACGTGGCCTTGGTACACATGTCCGATGCTGATGTGGCATCGACGTGGCATTGACGTGACCTTGGTACACATGTCCGATGCTGACATGGCATTGACGTGGCATTGACGTGGCCTTGGTACACATGTCCNGTGGCATCGACGTGGCATTGACGTGACCTTGGTACACATGTCCGATGCTGACATGGCATTGACGTGGCATTGACGTGGCCTTGGTACACATGTCCAATGCTGACGCGGCATTGACGTGGCATTGTAACGCTGATGTGGCCGGTGGACCGCTACCTGGCTTACGTGGCACGTTGGTACTGCTCCTGACGTGTATTCCCTCGATGATGCTGACTGGACCTTGGTGCTGACCTCGCAGACAAAAGTGCTGCTGAGTTGGCACTCCAGGGGATACACGTGGCAGGTTGGAACTTCGACTTTGTGGCAGGCTGGTACTTCGACTTCAGCATACATTGCTGACGTGCACCCCATTGATGATATTGATTGACCTGCTGACCTGGCATACTCATCGAGTTGCTGAGTTGGCAGGCCAGGGGTGACACGTGGCGGGCACGATCGTGCCTAAGTGAGGACAGCATTCTGATGACTGAAGCGACACGACAAGAAGACTGACGTGGCTGTGGTGCCGAACGTCAGATTGTGTGCTGGTCACACAGGACAAAGAAGGACGAAACAGCAAGAAGGGAAAAACGCTAACTATTGATTGATTTTTGTTGGCGGACTTACCTGTTGTCTGGCTGTGTTGTGTACCTGTGTACTCACTTGTGTTTGTTGATGATCATGCTGGCCTGGAGTTGCGGTACCTGAGATAGAGTAGGATGTCATCACATTGAAAACAGAACA